GCCCTCGCTCTCCGAGATCCGGTGGAAGATGGATGGTCGCGCGATAGATGCAGAGCATGGCGGTCATACTGTCAATATTCATTTTCGTCAGCTCCACAACGTCCGGACGGTATAATATTCTTAATTGGCTTGATGTCAAGGGCCGGTTTTCAGGTCCAGTTTTCACTTCTCACCTTCTGAGGTCGTCGGCACAAAAAATGGACTTCTTCGAGATCTAGCGCGCCATATTAGTCGGCGTTCAACGTCGCAAAAGCGATGGACATCTCCACCTCGGAGCAAGTCTCCAGTGGCTCGTCATTCAAAGTCCGTGCGTGGGGGGGGGGGGGGGGGACGTGGGAAACGCGCGGGAAGGTTCCCGCCCAAAACCTTCACCTCCACCACACCACCATGTCGAGGGGTGCACAGCCAAAGGGAACACGTACCACAGTCTGGAACCTCCGCTGGATGCGGACAAGCTCGCCAGGAGCCGTAGTGGCGGAAAGCGGAGGGTTGAGCAATGCCTCCAGCTCGTGAGCCTCCTCCATGTATGTGGCCTCGGACATGGTGTCGGTGGCCGCTTGGGTACGCAGAGACGAGTTGCGCCGCCCCACTCGCTCCCGTCCCGAGAGCCCAACACGCCACTCCATCACCATCTGTACCCACTGATTCGGCCACAGCAATTGTTGCCCGCGTACGCTATGTCTTTACATCAAGCCATTTCATGACGATGGGTGCAGCGAGCCGCTCAGCACCTTGGCACCTCGCGCTAGCGACCCGATCGCTGCGCGAGTCGCCCCTGGTCCCGATCCCATCCCTGCCCCCGCCTCGGACCCCGCCCCCCAGGCAGCGACACCCACGTCACATGCCGGTCGCATCGACGGGTGGCCTCAACAGCTATTGATGCATATTTTCCTGCTCGTGTGATGCTTGCCCACTCGCCATGATCGCATAGGCACGCCAATAGCCCCCAAGCCCGGCCCATCTCTCTCGTGCGCATCAACTACGGGCGCGCAGCATGTCAGCAATGGAAAAGAGACTTGCCTGCAAGAGGCTGGGGGACGGAGACGACAAGCGGCGGTGTGTGCGGTGCGGGAATGAGGGCAACCCGGGCTCGTCCAACGCATCGTTTGCTGTCGACTACTGCGTCCACTGCAAGGAGATCACAGAGTTTGGCTACGGTGTTGTGCCGCCGGGAAAGCCAACCGTGGCTGGTGGCGATGAGGAAGGAGACGTGGCTGGCGGATCGCGGGCGGATGACGCCTGACGGTGGCGGCAAGCCAGCGGCTCGGATGCCGTGCGCTACTACTCGGCCTTGGCCGACTTTTCCGCGCTGTTGATGGCGGCGAGATGGTGGTTAAAGTCAGCGTCGGTGCCCATGATCCAGTCCCAGAAGAACGAGTTGCCGCCGTAGCAGCCAGAGTTGTGCGAGTGGTGAAAGTTGTGGGCGAGCGGGTGCGAGGCAAACGGGTTGACCTTGGCCGCGCCGCCCCAGTGCGCAGGCGACCAGGGTAGGGCGAAGCCGCAGTGGTTGTCGACGGTGAGATAGATGCGAATAGCGAGCCAGAGAAATGTGATGGACATGTGAGTGCCAAGGAGCAGCGGGCCGCCGATGGTCGGCAAGCCGTTGGAAACGAGCTGTTCAAACGGATGGGCGTACTCGGCGGCGATGCCGATGGTCGAGCCGAACTTGTGGTGTCGTGCATGAACGGTCTTGAAGAGCCACTCGGAATGGAGCCACCGATGTGACCAGTAGAACCCGGTCTCGTTGATGACAAAGCAGGCGAGGAGCTGGGCGATGGCCACGGCCGCCGAGGGCATGTCCGCCGGATCGGCCGACATGCCGAGGGCCACAAACACCGGGTAGAGGAGGAACAGCTGGAGAGGCTGGACAATCAGATGCCCCACCAGCAAGCTCTTGATGCATGCTACCACCAGCGATCGTGACGGTGTCCGCTGCTGGATGCGGTACCGTTCGAGGAGGCCTGCGGCGCCTACCGCTGCAATGGCGCCCGAGAGCCCGACAAACACAAGCTCGTGGACAGTCATAAAGCCGACAACAAAGAACATTCTCTCTGAGTATGGCCACCTGGTCAGGACATCTTCCCAGAGCTCGCTCGGCAGCATGTGCGCGCTGGCGTCGAGTGTTGGCCGGCAGGCGCGAGCGCGAGTGGTGGCGGTGCCACGTGGGCTCGCGTGGACTGACACACTGGTTGCCTAGCCGGGAAGATGATACACATGGTTGCTTCTTTGATGAGGAAGGTATGGGGAGTCGGATTCGGAGGGCGCAGCAGCTTGTATCACTCGTCGTCAAACTCGACGGCGCCAAAGTCAAAGTCGTCGAGTGCAGTCGAGACAGCGGCGATGGGTGCCGTGGGCTCGGGCGTTGCCGGTGCGGTCCAATCGAAAGACGCCTGAAGGTGGGCCGGGAGCGGAGTGGGTTTGGGATCAACAGCCTGTGCGCTGGCCTCGGGCGCGGTGTCGGCCGCATCGGTCTCAGCTTCGGTCTCGGCCGCGGTCTCGGCCTCGGTCTCGGCCTCGGTCTCGGCCACAGTCTCGGCCTCAGTCTCGACCTCGGTCTCGGCCTCGGTCTCGGCCTCGGTCTCGGCCTCGGTCTCGGCCTCGGTCTCGGCCTCGGTCTCGGCCTCGGTCTCGGCCTCGGTCTCGGCCTCGGTCTCGGCCGCAGTCTCAGTCTCGGCCTCGGTCTCGGCCTCGGTCTCAGCCTCAGTCTCGGCCGCAGCATCGGTCTCAGCCTCGGTCTCGGCCTCAGTCTCGGCCTCGGTCTCGGCCACAGTCTCGGCCACAACATCGGTCTGAGCCACAGTCTCGGCCTCGGTCTCGGCCACAGTCTCGGCCACAACATCGGTCTCGGCCTCAGTCTCGGCCTCAGTCTCGGCCACAGTCTCGGCCTCGGTCTCGGCCACAGTCTCGGCCTCAGTCTCAGTCTCGGCCTCGGTCTCGGCCTCGGTCTCAGCCTCAGTCTCAGCCTCGGCCTCAGTCTCGGCCAAAGTCTCGGCCACACCATCGACCTCAGCATCAACCTCAGCCTCAGCATCAGCATCAGCATCAGCATCGACCTCTGCATCAACCTCAGCCTCAGCATCAGCATCAGCATCAGCATTAGCATCAGCCCCAGCCTCAGCCACACCATCAGCCTCAACCTCAACCACACCATCAGCCTCGGCCTCGGCCCCAACCTCACCCTCACCCCCACCGCAACTTCAGGCCCAGGCCCAGCCGCGTCCTCAATCTCGCCCTCTCCGCCAGAACCAATATCGTCGTCGCCGTCGTCATCATCATCGTCGTCGTCGTCGTCGTTGCGCGTACTCTCGCCCTCGGACTCGCCGGGCCCGGCCTCGAGCGCCGCTGTCACCTCGGCTTCCTCGCGCAAGACAGCCATGAGCGCCTCCTTCTCGCGCGCCACAAGCGCCGCCACTGCATCGCGGATGGCCTGGACCCACGCCTGGCAGTCGCCCATCATCCGCGACGAAAAGTAGAACGTCCGATATCGCGTCGCAATCGAGAACCCGGGCGTCGGGAACTTAAGTGTCTTGCCGCTCTGGGTTGTGTGCTTCGACTTGGGCTCTTCAAGGTTGACATTAAGCACGTCCATCAGCTCCACAGAGCCCTTCAGCGGCTTGCCCTTCTTGCCGGCGTAGTCGAGCCGCTCCGGCGTCAGCTCAAAGTACCGCGTCACCCACTTGCCGGACTCGGTGCCCTTCTTCAGAATGCCCTCCTTCAGCACCTCGGTCTCCTTGACCACAACTTCGCCCGCCTCGCGGACCGCGCTCACCGCACCAGCCACAATGTCTTTCCATCGCCCGGCAGCCCCAGCATTCTCAAATCGAAGCGCCACAAGCGGCTCGCCGCCATCGTCGCCGTCGCCGGTGCCCACAACCACAACCACAAACGGGTCCGACAGGTCCTGGCACCGCCCAAACGCCTCGCCCCACGGCACCACAACCCGCGCAGGCTTACCCACCTTGTCAAACACCCGCAACTCGCGCGACGTCGCCTCCACAAGCGCCGCAGTCTTAAACGGCCCGGCAAAGTCGGTACCAGTCCCCACCCCGATCGCACGCGCAATGACAAACTCGTGCCCACCCATCTTGCGCATCCGCACCGCAATGCTCGGCTCGGCAGCAACCGCGGCCGCAAACCGGATCGCCTGCTCCAGCGCGTCGTGCCAGACAGAAATCGGCGGGCCGCCACTGCACGCCATGATCGCCAACGCCTCGGTCGGCGGCGTCGCATCGCCCTCCACCACGGGTGCTCCTGGCGCAAACGTCGCTGTCTCGCTCCGCACCATCACACGGACCACGTCGCCGTCGAGCACAGCCTCTACCACGTCGGCCACATCGAACCGGAACCGCGACGGCTTGTTCTTGGCGGCCGCGCCCCGGATCTCCACTGGGCTGAGAACAAGGTACAGTACATCGCCCTTGCCCTTTCCTCCCACTACCTTGGCCTTGGCCTTGCCTTCCACCAGCGGCGTCTTGACGTCCATAACCCGGTTGAGCACCAGAGCCTTGGACAGCCGCCTCGCACGTGTCCGCTTGCCATCCTGCAACGCAGCAAGCCTTGGCATGGCCGTCCCGCTCTTCCCGCCGCTCTTCCCGCCGCTCTTCCCGCCGCTCTTCCCGCTCGCTTTAGCTCCTCCCTCAGAATTCACCAAAACCTGCTGGACGTCGCTCCGTTCCTGAGTCCGAGCCTTGCGAGCCGGCCGCTTCCGACGCGTGCCTTTTCGCGCCCAGCATCCATTCCTGCCTACTTGCTCGTATGAGACGTGTGTGTCGCTGAGTCGGTGCGTCGGTGACAAGTGCCCCTCTCCCTGCCTCGCGTACCAAGCCCTCCACCTCCTCCACAAGCCCCGCTCCACCGGGCGGACGGTTGGTAACCAAAAAAATCGTCATCTCAATTCACGTGGACTGCCTCTCACCACGCCCCGAGCCCTAACACACTACCAAACTCCGCCGCTGATGGCACTGCTTTCTTTCACACTCTCACGCTGCCGCTCCCGTGTACCATCACTTCTGTCTCGTGTCTTCATGGGTCCCTAAGCTCCCTGCCTCGCTGCCCACCCCCCGACCCACAGTTGGCTTCAGCTCCGGAGCGACCAGACTCACTCGCCATGGTGCTACAATCAGCCCGACGCATGCTGGCTGTTGAACAACCGCAGCCGGTCCACCAGCGAAGTCTTGGATCCTCGCGTCGAGAGCCAAACTGCTGGCAGAGCTCACGAAGCTCCGGCAACTTCATCCGCACCACCCGGCCCATGTCGAACAAGCCCGAGCTGGACCTGGCTCCTGTCGCCACTGATGCTGTCGATGCCGTCGATGCCGTCGATGCCGCCGATGCCGTCGTCGATGTCGCCGTCGACACTGCCGCAGCCGCCAAGCTCTTCGCCCGCTTGCTCGGCGACGCGCCGTGGCTCACAGACGACTTGCGCTTCCGCGACGCCGCGGACGCAGACGCCGCTGCAGACGCTGACGTCGACGTCGACGTCGATGCCCCGGGCACTTGCGACTTGCGCTTCGCCTTGGCCTCGGAAAGTGCCCGAATCAGAATGTGTGTCGAGTCTGTCCCGATCGACTGTCCCGCCGGCGGACGCTGGTCGCCGCTCGGCAGCGCCCGCCGCAGCTGCGGCTCCTGCGGCGCCACATACCCACTGCCGCCGCCTCCGCCTCCGCCGCCAGCCGCCCCCACCTCCACTTCGGTAAACGCACCCGCACTCGGAAGCGACTTGAAGAACGACATGCCTATGCCGTGTCGCCCTCGCCTCGGCCCGTCTGTCAAGCTCGCCACGCGCGGGTTCTTCTGCCCTACGCCTCGTTGACCAGCACACGGCCACCGTCACTCTCCACGGGCAGTTACTGACGCTTAGCCTGCTCTCTATGACCTGTCCTGATCCCTGTCTCCGTCCTACTCCCCCGCGCTGTTACCCACAAAGTCGCGTGTCGCACTCGCCGCCGTCACTCGTCCGCCGCCTGCCGCCTGCCGCCTGCCGCTGCCGGCACACACGATTTACGCCCATACAACAGCTGCGACAATACCGACTCCGCCCACCACCGCCACAGCAACGCCAGCAGCAAGTCCTATCACAGCTTCAGCGCCACCTACACGCGGCGCGAGAGTGACCACCCCAACATCGAGCATCCCTACAACCGCGGCCACGATGCCGAGCCCGAGCCGGCGGCTTCTCTCCGACCGACCGGCAAGCTGCGCCCATCCACACACAAGCACAACGTAAAGAGTCCAGCGGAGGATCGACGTCAGTCGCGCCATCGCGCCAAGCGGCTCGTTGCGGACCGCAATGCCTGCCCATGCCCATGCCAGCGGTGCGCCCACAATCAGCCCGCCGGCCACTCGCTCGCGGATCTGCCACGTGTTGTCGATCGCATCGCTGCGGAGCGCAAAGCAGATGTGAGCTAGGAGCCAGAGCCACACCGTCTGCGATGTTCCAAGCGCCGCAAGTCCTGACAGCGACCGTCGCACCGCGCCAGAAGCAGACGGCGACTGCCACCGCGTTGTCAAGCTCGCCACTGCCCGCATCTGCCGCGAGACCGTCACAAACACCGCGCCAGCTCCAATGACAGCCAGCCAAAAGCTGAACCTGTAGCCATCATGGGTCGAAAAGCCCAACAGTCCGTCAACGACATCCATCCCAAACTCGCCGATCTCAAGCCCGCTGCACGCCATCACCACCGCGACGCATCCAAACAACACTGCGTCCAGCGCCCGGTACTTGGATGTCGTCCGCGTCGCCGTGCCTAGCAGGTATCGCGCGCCGCGTGCCAGCACGCCCACCCATGCTCCTGCAACTACCATCACTCCGCCGCCAATCAGCGACGCACAGCTCGGCCACAACACGCCAGCAACTATCGTGCACAGCATGGCAAGCGCAGCCAACAGCGTCACGCCACTCGCAGCCCAGTGCTGCTGAGCGTACATCGATGCCGTCGCTTGCACCGGTCCCCGCTGCTAGCCAATGCTGACACAGCCATGGCGCCGGCCGCTCGGAACACCAGCAGTGTCCCGTCAACTCCGCCCACTGTCCCGCTCGCCACAGCACGCATCGCACGGCTTGCTCCGCGAGCAGGCCCCGCGCACATTCCGCGGCGCACGGGCTTGGGTGCCCCGGTTGCGCCTGCAGCAAGTAGCCGTTGTTAAGAAGCTCCACAATGTGCAGCGCGCCCTTGGCTCGGTACGGAATCCACTTGCCCGCAACGTCACGCCGGACCTTGCCCAGCACCGGATGCCGGAGGACAAATCGAACCGCAGCCACGCTTCCTGACCTCGCCGCATACTCGAGTGGAGCCAGGAGATCGTCGTCGTCAGCAAGTGCTGCCACAAATACCTGCTCCACGAGTGCCCGCGGCATCGCCGCCAACACATGCCGCGCCACCCGCGCGTCGCCTGCTGCCAGCGCCACGTCCAGCGGTGTCCTCCGCAGCACATCGTCGCGGGACATGCACCCAGTAAGCACCTCGGTCATCGGCATGCCCTCGGCCCTCAGTCGCGCCAACGGCAGCGCCTCGCCTCCGGACACCGCAGCGTACACCGCGCGGTGGACTCGCGCCCGATGATACGGCTTCACAAGGCCACCGGTGGCAAACACAGTGCCGTCGACAGTAATCTGGGCGAGGCGCCCCACCGCCCGCCGGAGCTCGACTACCACAGCACGCGCAGCACGCGCGTCATGCAGTCCGCGCACTGTGCCCGGCAGCCGCGACATTGTCGCCCGCCCGTCGGCACTGCCCAGCACAGCCTCAATCATCTCGGCGTCGCCGCTGGCCACGGCTGCCTCACCAGCCACGCTCCACGCAGTCTCCAGCGACGTCACCAGGTGCTTCGGGACAAGATCCGGTACATAGAACGCGTCCAGCACTCGGCGCACGAGCTCCGGCTCGCCGGACGCCACTGCCGCCACAAGCGGTGAGACTGGCGGCGTGCCGAGCGAAGAGGCCTCAAAAACGACCCAGCCCTCGCGGCCAACTTCAAACGCACCGTTGAGCGCAACCTCGATCGACCACGGGACCGAGCCGGGACCGTCAACCTCCAGCGAGGGCATCCAGTTGCGGGAGGCATCGAGCCACTCCAGCTGCGGCAGGCCGAGCGCAAGCATCCGCAGCAGCTCTACAGATCGGTCAGTCAGCGAGTTGCCGCTCACGTCCATGTACCTGAGCGAGTGAGGGACAACTCGTGAAATAGCTGCCAGCCACTCGTCTGTCAGCTCCGTCCGCCGCAGTACCAGTTTGCCCAGATGCGTGCTCGATCCCATCCACGCCACTAGGCTCTGCGCTCCGGCGTCCGAGAGAACTACGCCCTCGATGATCAGCGTGTGCAGTGTCGGCGGGAGCAGGCTCAGCAACTCCGGCAAATCGCACGACGCCACTCCGCCTTTCACCAGCGCCAGCATTGCCAGCGACCGCGGCGCCTGTTTGCACATCCCCAGAAGCCCGGTTGGCCGCGGGCGGAGTCCGAGATCGCAGACCTCGTACGGTGCCGCCGCGCGAGACACTAGCAGCTCGAGCATCGGCCGCGCAAACGCAGCTGCGTCCGGCGGGGCCGGCTCCAGAGATGCCCAAATCCGGGTCAGCGAGCTGTGACTCGCCAGCGCTTGAGCCAGCTCACACTCTTCATCGCCGTCAAACAAAACGCCACGCACGTCAAACTCGCTCAGCCGCGGGCATGCCACCGCCATCGCCGCCGCGTCGCTTCCGCTCACCAGCGTCCGCGAGACGTTGAGTGAAGTGAGCGAGCCCGCCACGCTCTCCAGCAACCGCCGGACGCCAAGCCCGGTCAGAGGGTTGTGCTCGAGAGTGAGGTCCGCCAGCGAGTCAGGGAGCGAGAGCGCTACACACGCCTCGTCAGAGAGGATGTTGTCAGCAAGATTGAGGACAGTGAGTTGTGGAACGTGGCCGAGCGGCGCAGTCAGGCCACGCGCCGTACCCAGAGCGTTGCCCGACAGATCGAGGCTAGTAAGCGAGAGTGGCAGTAGCGGGAGGCACGCCGCCGTCAGCGGTGGCGTCATATCCACCATTGCCAGGTGTGTCAGTGTTTGCGGCAGCGGCACAGAGGCCAGTGCGCCACGCGGCAGCCGCACAGCCCGCAGCGTGACCGAGATCAAGATAGGGCTGGCCAGCGCGCGCCGGAGTAGGATCCGAGCGTCACCGTCAGACACCCGCCCGCGCTCAAGCACAAGCTCGCTCTCGGCGCTCTGGGCACTCTGAGAGAGCTTCGACACAAGGTGATCCGACGTGGCGTCAGGCAGCGGCTGTGGTGCCATCGATGGGTTCGCCGATGGGCTTGACGATGTCGATCGCGGGGGCTCGGGACTCGAGACTCGTTGGATGCGGAAGATCGGCGAGGCCTCAAGCGAGTGCCTACTCTCCAGCACTGCCTCGCTTCGCGCCTCGGGTGACGCCTCCGGACTTGATGACGCCTGCAGCGCCGCGTGCACCACCGCCACGTCGTCGAGCTCGACCGCGGCATCGCGGTCACTGCCCGCGTCGTCATCGTCGCTGGCCCGCCATTCGACGACCAACGGCTCGGCAGCTGCGGCCCGCTGCGAACGAGCCCGCTGCTTCGGCGCAGCCCGCCGCTTTGGCGCAGCCGGGCGTTGTGGCTTTTCCGGCCGCCGCCGCGTCGCAGGCCGCGCCGGCGGCTTGCGATTCGCAGCCTGTCGCGGCTCAGGCCTCGATTTTGCCGGCGATGCCGATGGCTGCTTCGCCACGCTCGTGTCAATACCAAGCCTTTTGAGCAGCTTCTTGACATCGTTGCTGCCATCAAAGCCAACACTTCCGTCTGCGTGCGCCAGTGACGGCCGGAGGCTCCGCTCGGTGGCCGGCGGCGGGTTGGCGGGAAAGTGCGAGTTGTCAAAGCGGGCAAAGCGAACTGCGGCAGCAGCATGGCAGTCTCGCTGAAGGCCAAAGACGTCATGCGGCACAAGCTGCAGCGAACCCGGCTCCGACGTGGCTACCAGCGGTTCCCTCTTGGCTTGCTTCTGGCCTGGTCCTCGGCCTCTGTTGGCGTTGCTGCCTCGCGCAGAACGTTGCCCTGGCGAGGAGGAGGGCGGACGGCGCAAAGGCGCCGAAGGCGGTCGGCGGAGTGGGGATGCCGCGGACGGCTCTGGGGGACTCTGCTCACGGGTAACGGCAGCTGCTGCTCGAAAGTATGCTTCTTCTGCGTCGTACACTACCGATCCGATGGATGTGCTCGGTGCATGGCTTCCACGCCCGCCCTCCCCCGCGCCACGTCCTGCACCTGCCTCGACCCATTCGCCGTTCCAGTCCGGCTCGTCGAGCACCACCGGCACTGCCATCACGAGACAAGTCGTTTACTCCCGACTTGTGTTGCACCGACCGCTTCCGCTTTGCCACCACACACCCGCTGTGGGCCTCGCCACAGGAGAATGAGCCAGTTCCGGCACGGGGTAGGAGGGGGAGGGGGAGGGTGCAACGCCTTCTGCCCCTGGCTCCGGCCATCGATCAAAGTGCACCTGCAGGCTACGCAGGCGGCCGCTCGCGCGCAGAGTGATAGGAAGCAGCTCGTCAGTCGCCTTCACCAAGAATGGCCCGCCGCGCAGCGCGACGAGCACGGCGAGACATGGCCCGCTGCTCCAAGAGCGCGCCGAGCGCGACCGCGACCCGGAGGCGGAAGACAATGACAATGATGAGGATGCTGCCGATGACGCCAAGGAGGATGCGGTCTAGCGGGTAGCCGGTGGTGGCTATCAGTTCGTCGTTGGTGACCTGGATGTGAAGGCCAATGAGGGCAAGGCCAGCAGGGAGCGCCGCGTCGGGTGAGGTCTCCCAGGCCTGGTCGTAGAACCGCTTGGCGAGGTGGAGGTCGAGCGGGAGGCCGAGCCCGTGCTGGTGCATGTAGCCGAGGTTGAAGAGCGCCTGTGGGTGCCCGCGGTTCGCGCCGGCGCGGTACTGCGAGAGCGCCAGCTCGTAATCACGCTCAGTGTCAAAGTAGTAGTCGCCGAGCGCGAGGTTGGCGTCGACGTTGCCCTGCAGCGCCGAGAGCGCGAGCATGCGCAGATGCAGGGCTCGGACGGCGTCAGAAGAGCCACCGAACAGAGCCAACACCCGGCTCTCGTCGCCGTGGTGGTGGAGGATGTACGCAGCGTTGCGCTGCGCAAGCTCGACGCCCTGCATCGCGACAACGAGGTAGCGCACAAGGGCCATGACCACCTGGTCATCGTCGTAGGCGGCATGCGCGGTCTTGAGCACATTCTCTTGCAGGCCGCGCTCGACGGCGGTCTTGAAGAGCGAGAGCGCCGAGGCGCACGAGCGGGCAGTCCCAAGGCCTTGCGCGTGCATGAGGCCGAGGTAGTACGTGGCAAGGGTGCGGCCCTGGTGGGCGGCGTTGACAAACAAGGCGTGGGCGCGCTTGTAGTCGGGCTCGCCGTCGGCGGTCTCGCCATTAAAGTAGAGTGTGCCAAGATTGAGCTGGGCGTCGGCGTTGCCCATGGCCGCAGACTTGGCTATGTAGTCAAAGGCCTTGGTCGAGTCGGCCTCGACGCCGGTCCCATGGAGGTACATGAAGCCGAGCCCGTTGAGCGCCGACGCCGAGCCGGCGTCGACGGCCTTGGTATACCACTCGATTGCGGCGTCGGTATTCTGCGGCACGCCGTCGTCGCCGGCGGCGTACACGTGGCCGAGGTTGGCCATGGCTTCGGGCGAGCCTGCGGCAGCGGCCTGCTCAAAGTGTTGGACAGCGGCCGGCACGTCGCGCGCCAGCCCACGCGCGCCAGTCCAGTGCAGCTTGCCGAGCGCGACCGCCGCCGACGGCGAGCCCTGACTCGCCGAGTACTCGTAAAAGTCGACAATGTCCTCGTCCGAGTTGGTGGACCCGTCGACCGGTTTGACCTCATCAGACAGCGGCTGGGCGGTTGCCTCGGGCTCAGCTCCGGTCTCCACAATCTGCGCCGCCACGTCCTCAGCAGCCTTGCGGTAGTAATTGGCGGCAGTATCGCACGAGCCGGGCACTGCCAGCGCGTGCCGATGCCTGAAGCCAAGCGCGGCGTTGGCGACCCGTGAGCTGCCACGCGCAGCAAAGAACAGATGCAGGACTGCAAGGGCCTCGTCGCGCTCGACCGATCCCGCGCGGGCAAGGCCGAGGCTGTGAAGCAGGCCCACATACGCCTGTGCCTCTGGCAGCCCGCGCTCGGCCGCCCGACCCAGCCACTTTTGCGCCGCCGCCACATCGATGACCTCGTCACCTTCGTCGACGGTCGTTCCCAGGAGCGACCAGAGGCCGAGCTCGAGCGCAGCCTTCATGTTGTCCTCCTCCTCCGCCAGTGTCTCTAGCGCAGCTCGTGCCCGACCATAGCCATTGCTTGCATGCGCCTCGCCCACAATGACCTCCACAGGGTCGACCATCTCCTCCACCGGCACCAGGTCTTCGCCGGCAAGGCCACCGCCATGGCCTTCGTCAGCGGCAGCGGCAGCGGCAGCAACAACAGCTGCAGCCACCGCAGCCACAAGGAAGGCAAGCCGCAGTACTCTGTACATCAATGTTGTCGGCCTTGCGTGAGTGAGGTGTTGGTGAAGGTGTGGTGGGTCGTCGTTGTCGTCGTCGTCGTCGCTGTCGTCATTGGGCTTTCGGACCGCTGACATCGGCTGCGCCGAAACTGTCTGTGCCAGGCGGAAGACTCGGCTGTCGTCGAGGAAGCTGGCATTTACATGACCGAGTCCTGGAACTCTTGGCGCTCACGAGCACGCTGTGCCGTGGTAAGCATGTCACGGAGCTTGATGGCGGCGTCCTTCATCTCGGGCGCCTCAAACGAGCCGGAGAGACGAACGATCTGCTCCGGCGTGGGGAAGACGTCCTTGGGACACGAGTAGCGTGGCGGGTGGGTGGGGACCAGCTCGACGCCATCAGACATGACCTCCATGAGGAGGTCGAACGGGGCCTGACCGACGATGGGGCGGGCGAGGTTCTCGGGATTGCAGAGGAGGACAATGTCGGTGACCGGAAGCAGGGCCTCGGTGCCGAGCTGCCAGATGCAGTAGGTGATGACGTCGCCGGTCTTGGGATGTTGCATGACAGTCATGGTGGCCGGCATGACCTTGACCTCATTCTTCTCGTTGACTTTGTCCAGCATCTTCTTCTGTGAGTGGTACTGCTGGCCGATGCCCCGGGTGACCAGGTTCTTGTACAGGAGGTAGACCTTGGTGGGGACCGGGAGCTCGGCGACACCGTCGGCGCCGCCGGATGCCGAGCTTGCACCGCCGCCGGACGACTTGCCGTCAAACTTGGGCGGCTCGTACGGGAGGTAGTGGCCCTTCTTGTTAAGCGTCCACACGCCAAGCACGGGCGACGGCAGGCGCGAGAGGATGGAGGCGACCAGGTTGAGAACGGCAAGCAGGCCCTCGGGATCCTCGCTGCCGGTGACAAGGAGGACCTCGCGATCGGGGACGAGGACGACAGGGCGCCCCTTGACCTTGAGCTTGCGGATCATCGCCTTGCAGAGCATGCGCGCCGAGTCTGCACCATCGCGGAACTGGGCGAGGTACGAGCCCTTGGTTGTGCCGGGCACCGCGCGCCACTTGCCGTCGCCGTTGGTCCGCGCCGCCAGCGCGGCGGCGGCGTCGTCGAGCGCCTGGTCAAAGCTCACGCCCCAGGCCAGCAGGTGCTTGTTGGTGACGGTGGCCACCGTAGTGTCATCCTCAAGCGCAAGCTCGGCGACCAGGTCAGGCGAAGTGGCGACGTCGCGCGTCGGGATGACGACCTCGTCATCGCCGCGGAGCTCGCACTGCATGTCAAAGAGCTCGTAGTACGAAGCGAGGCGGAGGCGCGGGACGAGACGGCTCTTCATCTCGTCGTACGTGCCGAGCGGCATGATCTTGGCTTCGCACAGATCCAGCAGCTCGGAGATGACCACGTCGCGCGAGCCGTCATCATCCTCGGAAATGGCGTAGGCGTTGTAGTACGGCACGAGGTCCACAAACGGGTGCGGCTGATGCGAGGTCGGCGCCACCGGGCCAGGCAGCTCGACGACTAGCCGCTTGGTCTCGGCCTCGTAGCGGATCGAGAGCCCGCGCTCCGAGCCCTTTTCCGCCACCATCTCTGAGAACCGCCGCAGCGATGGCAGGACCTTGGTCGGCACCGCAGGCTGAGCGCCCTCGCCGCCTTCACTCCCGCCCTCGCCAGCCGCGATTCCGGTCAGATTCTCAAGCGTATCGCCAATGATTGACGCCAACGGGTTACTCCCTGCCGCCTTGCCCTTGCCTTTGCCCTTGCCCTTGCCCTTGCCCTTGCCGTCGTCCTGGTGAGTGCTTGAGGCGGCACCGACGTCACCGGTCGCCGCCTCGTCGCCGCCGTCCTCAACCACGCCGTCGACCACGTGCGGCACCGACGCGCCGTCACAAGACTTTGGTCTCGTCTTGGACCCATCAGACGCGCTTGCACAAGACTCGAGCGCCGCTGCGCCCGGTGTGGTCACAACCTCGATGTCACCAGAGCCAGAGTCGGACATGTTGTGCGTTTCGCGAGAAGTGCTATCGAGTCGGCCACGCGGCTGCTGGACACCAGACGACGGACGACGGACGACGGACGACGGACGACGGACGACGGACACCGGGCCGGGCTGTCGCGGCCATGGGACATTTCGAGAAAATAGGGAGGAGGAGAGGGGGAGGGGAAGGAGGAGGAGGAGAAGCCAGGATGCGTTTGATCTCGGAAGGGACGGCGACAGGGCCGAGCCCAGGAGGTGGGGACAAGGGGGGACGATCTGGACGGATGGTGCGTTGCGGGTGGATGGAGCTCTGTAGGTTGATGGGTGAAGCGGCAGCGGGCGAGGCAGGGCGGTGGCGACAGCAGACGCACCACAGACCGGACGTGCAAGGCCCGGATGCTGGGCAGCGCCCGAGGGTGAGCCGGGGTGAGGCGTGCGGCGGCAGACAGTCTAAAGAAGCAGATCGTAGTCGTCGAGCTTGTCGTTGTACTTGAGAACCTTGCGGCGGATGGAAGAGGTGTCGACAAAAGCGACGTGGTCCTCCATCTTGCGGGTGACGTGGTACGCCGGGTCGGTGACGACGTTGGTGCCAACGCGGAAGTGGCCCTGGCGGACCATGCGAGCGGCCTCTGCCACGCTCTGAGCAAACTTGAGGCGAACGATGACGACTGCCAGCCGCCGCCGACAAAACGCAGCCGTGGTCACCGCCGATGCCTTGCCCAGCGAGCGCTTCGAGTTGATGACGCCCATCTCGTACAGCTTCTCCAGCAACGACGCCGTCATCTTGATCCGAAACTCCGAGGTGGCCTCCGCGCTCTTGAGCTTGTTAGCCAGCTTGGTAATCTTACCGCAAACACGATTGTACCTACCCATTACAAGACACCATACATGGGCATGCTCTTCTGTGAGTATGGCTATCACAACCTCCCGCTATCCCTCGTCTCACACCATCTGCTGCACTCTCAAACCAACCAGGGATGGTTGCTGCCATCCTCGGCTGCACCCCTCCCAACCACCACACACACACACACACACACACACACACACACACACACACACACACACACACACAACATACTGCATGTAGTCCTCCCGCTTCTCAATGTGATAGCGGCGCATGACTTCGATCTCACGGAGGTTGTTCGACCGCTTCCAGTCCATAAAGTCCGTCTTCCGAAGAAGCTTCCTCTCATGGTGCTTGAGCTTGCGCACCATGTTGGGCAGAAGGCAAAGAGACAGGTATCAAGAGGCTTGGAGTGCATGCCCCCCTAGCAGCAGTAGCAGGAGCGGGATCGACTGCACCGAGCCAATGAGCCGCGATAGATGTCATCGTAGGACGGCCTGGGCTGGTGGCGGGTTGCGATCGGGCGATGTGGTCGGGTGCTGGGACGTGATCGGGGTACAGCCAGGTCGACCGCGGCCAGGTTGACGCAACCGGGTCGACTGCACCGAGCCAATGAGCCGCAATAGATGTCATCGTAGGACGGCCTGGGCTGGTGGCGGGTTGCGATCGGGCGATGTGGTCGCGCCAATGGCACGGCGCACGCGCGAGGCAGCCGGACCGTCTGCAGGCTTCCGGTGACGACAGCGGCTAACGTACGGGCACGGGCCACCACCTGACACAGAGCGTATCAGGATGAAGGCACACATGGCCATGAGACAGCAGAGTGTGGTACTTGCTGTAATGCTCGCGGCGTGTGCCGTGTCTGGTGTGAGGTTGGCGGACGAGGGCGCTGCGTGCCCGGAGCGACTTGACGTGCTGGCACAGGTGCAGCCGGATGGCTTCATGGTGGCTGGCAGAGAGGGGACGACGTATCGGATCCAACCATGTGGCGTGCTAGAGAACTCGCCATGTGCATCTGCATCGATTGATGATCCGGCGGCTTGTGCTGTGGCGGGTAGTCCGCCTGGTCCTGCCCCGCCATCGCCAGCAACGCTCCTTGCCACGGCCGCGTCGCGATCGATCGATGGCGATGGTCCGCAGGGTGTACGCATCGGTTTGGGTGGCCCGCCGAGCACTGACCGCCTTGTCATCGACGTCCTATGTGATGAGCATGTTACTGCTGGCAACGTCTCGTTTGTTTTGGTGGCGATGGACGGGCCGGTATCGGCGAGGACCTTCCGGTTCGTGGGCCTTGCCGCTGCGGCGTGTCCTCTGCCCGGACCGTCGCCGCCGTCGCCGCCTCCGCCATCGCCATCGCCGCCTCCGCCGTTGTCGCCGCCTCCGCCGCCATCCTCACCACCACCGTCGAGCACCGGGCCGTCACCTTCGCCTGCGACGACACAGGGCGCGCGCGGCCACACGCCCAAGGGCGACGTGGTGGTCCTCGTTATCCTCGCCATCATAGTCATTGTCCTCCTCATCACTCTTGTCGTCATCTACGTCGTCTTTCGCCGTCGGAGTGAGTCATCTTACCTCTACATGACGTCATGAGGTCGCCCACGATCTCGCCCCCCCCCCCTCCCCGTTGGTAAACCAGCCATGTCCACCATCGCCGACCTGAGTCATTGCACCGGTTGCCGCCACCGCCACCACCCGACAACCACAGCCACAACCACAACCACAACCACAACCAGAGTCCCCTCCACTCTTCTCCCCACACTCACACACACACATACCCACCATGGTACGCACTCTCCCATCCTCTCACCACCACTACCACCACCACCACCACCACCACCGTTCTCCCTTCCCTCCGCCCTCTGCTCTCATGACTCACTCTGCTCGGTGACGGACTGCCGTGGCTTGGTCACCCTCTACTGTGGTCGGGATCGTTGTGCCTGCTGTGATCGATCGGTATCTGGTGGTTTCTGCTGCGATTGGCTTGTGCTTGCCTCCGTGTGGTTGTCTGTATCTCGTGGTGCCTGCTGTGATTGGCTTGTGATTGTCTCCGTGTGGGGGGCTGCCTCCATCGACGTGTGCTACGGCAACAGGACCTCAAGGGCATGGTGCTGATGGAGTGGCTGACACAAGTGATTCTGATGGCAGCGACGGCAGTGGCGTTTGTGGCCGGCTGGGTGGCGGCGTCGTTTGCAGTGGCCATGTATGTGTTTGGCGCCGGAGTCCTTGTCGCGCTGGCCGTTTGCACACCAGACTGGGGCTTCTACAACACCGCGCCCAAGACCTTCCTTGAGCCCGTTTCCAGCGACGAGGCCCAGTTCAACATCCTCGACCTGTTCCCGTCCGAGGCTGCCAAGACCGCCGCCGAAATCCGGGTCTCGGGTGGCGAGGTGCCGACAAGGTACAACGGGAGCAGCGGGAAGCGGCGGAAGCGGTAAAGGTAAGCCGGCGATGGCGCAGAGAGTTGGGCACATTTATGCGGGAGCCGCACACATAACACAACACATGTCACCGCTTGGACGGACGCTCTTCTGCGGCGCCGGCTGCATCGGATCCGCGCTTGCGCTTGCGGGTATCCTGGCTCGCCGTCGAGGCGACCGACGAGGTCGACGAGGGGCCGGCGCCCGAGCTACCGGCGCCTGCGGCCTCGGCCTCGGCCTCGGTCTTGGCCTTGAGCCTGTCGCGGAAGCCGTAGAGGTCGCCGCCAAAGGCCGAGCACTGGCTGAGCATAAGGCCCCAAAAGAGCTCCTCGTGCTGCGAAACGAGCTCCGAGATTGACTCCAGGACTCGCGAGATGGAGAGGATGCCAAAGGTGTGTGCCGTGAACGAGTGCTCGCACTGCGCGCACTTGTTGGCTGCGTTGTGCCGATAGACAAGGCAGTCGCACCCGGGCGTATTGCACCGGAGCCGCACATCGCCGTGCTTGTCAAAGGCCGAGCCCGAGAAGAGGAGCTTGAGCCAGACGCCCACGAGCGAGGTGTCGCGGACGCTCAGCTCGGCCGCGCCCGCCGGTGCCCCATCGACAATGCCCTCGGCCACCAGACCGTGCTTTCGTGCGTGCTCGAGGACCGACTCGACAACTCCGGCCGTGCCAGCCCCGTCCTCGATGCTCTCCAGGTGCTCCTGCATGGCACGCGCCAGCTTGCCCAGCACCAGCACCGTCCACTCGGGCTCGTCCATCACCGAACCAATGGCCGTCATCAGCGCCACCCATGCGCCACGAATTATGGCCGCCACCTCGACAGCCGTCATGCCCTTCGCCAGCTCCACCGCGCTTGTGCCGCTCTCCTCGCCCTTCTCTCCCGATCCGGTCTCGTCGCCCGTCGCCGTTGCTGGCTGCTTCTTCGCGGCCTCTGCCTGACGATCCAGCGCAACCACAGTCGCCTTGGAAACAATATCCAACAATGCCTTGCCCACCACTTTGCCTTCTGTCTGAGGCACCTCTTTCGCCGCATTGGCTGCAGTGGCCAAGAGATGGACAATGGTCTCCGCAGAGAGGCGACGGCTAGCTTGGCTCCCGCTCGCGCTCATGGTGATGCTCTTGGCAGGGGCGGGAGGGAGGGGAGGGAGGGAAAAGGGAAGTGCTCGTGCTTCTGGACAGTCACAGGTCACAGGTCGAAGAGGGTGGAGTTGGAGACAGTGCTGGTGAGGTGCTGCTGCCTATCGCTCTCGCTGTCGCTCTCGCTATGGCTGCGGCATTGGTTGGCTGGCTGGCTGGCTGGCTGGCACAGCGAAGAATCTGCCGCCCGCCAAGGCGTCGGACAACTTGGTTCGAGATTCCTCCACACCAATGGGAATAAAGGCCCTTACCCCCCCCCCCCCCCCCTCCCGGCCCGCCCGCTTCTCTGTCGATGGTTGCCACATCCACGGCACCATCAACAGATCCATCAAGCACGGACAAGCAGATTGCACTCTTCCTTTCATCCTGACGGCATCGATCGAATCGACCCAATGACTCGAAAACAGCCCTAATGACTCGGGGTCACATCGACGACTCCATCAACTCGATCGCTCGACACGCATCGATCCGATTGTTCGCCCGAGCAGACAAAGCCAATGACTTGCGGCTTGCCTATTTCCAACTGTTTGCGTCGTGAAGAGCAACCACTTCTCGCCCATTTTCGGTTCATCCAAATCCTTTTCGTCCATCCCACGGTACGCCCCTCCCCCTCCCCCTCCCCCCCCCCCTACCATCACCACCCCCTTGTGGTTGCTTGAGGCAATGATGAATTGTTACCCATACATTCGCAGTGTTACGTCTGAAACTGGAATATCCGACCGGTCGTGCCTAGACCCACACGTTGTTCCATGGTAGAGGTCTTGGGTTGAGCCCCTTCTGCTTTTTGCAGCTGCGGGTTCCCCATTCTCTATTGTGTTGAGCCGTGTTGGTACGACCGGAACCGGTCCAGAGCCCATGACTGAGGCAAAAATACAATGCCTTCCTTGGACTGAGTCTCTTGCAATCTTCCTGCATTGGTCTTCCCGTTCTTCCTTCTTCCTCCTCTTTGCCTGTCCTCCCGCGTCCCGCTGCCTTCATGAAGCGCCGCACGAGAGACAGACAAAGTGGATGGTGAGGTTGATGGTCGGCGACCAATGTCCGGACTGGATTATTTTTTTCCCCTTGCACCGCATGCCATCACCCTTTCCCTTGCGCCCATACTCATCATCGATGACTCGAATCATGAAACAGACGACAAGGTTGTGTACCATGCTCTGCTAACTGCACATTTTCGCCGCGCTGCTCCTCGCTGAGCTTGCTTGCGCCCGGCTCTATCTCTTTCCTCGCTTCGGCACAGACGCCAGCCTTGTCGGCTACGGCGTTGTCGGCCGATGCGAGCCCACGATACGCGTGTCATAATAACATTCGATTGTATCTCCACACCACCCCTTTCTTTCTTCCTTCTTGCATCTTCCCTGCCCCTCGTCGCACTGCGGTGATGATGTTATTGTGACGCTTAGTCTTCGTCGTCCATGAAGAAGTAGTTGCCCGACGACTTCTGCGACGAGTCCTTGACCGAGCCGAGCTTGTTGATGCGCGGGCGGTAGTTGGCCGGATCGCGGCGGAAGGTGATGTTGAGCGAGCAGAGGAACTTGTTCATGCCGGTGAGGAGCGACTCGGGCGTGTTGGCGGTGGCCTCGACGGCCGGCTGGCCCGAGTAGACGACGACACGATCGGCCATGTAGGTGGCCATGATAAAGTCGTGCTCGACGATAAAGGCGGTCTTCTTGGCGTGGATGATGTAGCGCTTGATGGCGCGGGCGGCAGAGATGCGCTGCTCCGAGTCGAGGTACGCCGACGGCTCGTCGATGAGGTAGACATCGGCCGGGTGGCCGAGGCAGAGCGTGAGGGCGACGCGCTGCAGCTCACCGCCGGAGAGGTTGAGCACCATCTGGTCCATAATCTCCTCGATGAGGAGCGGGCGGATGACCTCGGCCTGGAAGGTCGGCGTCATGAGCTTTGTCCGAATCTTCTTGGTAAGCAGCTGGCGGACAGTGCCCTTGAAGCGCGGCGAGATCTTCTGCGGCTTGTACGAGACGTTGAGCTCGGGCACGTTGACCGACTCGTCGTCCGGCTGCAGCAGGCCCGCGAGCATGCGGATGAACGTGGTCTTGCCTGTGCCGTTCTCGCCGAGCATGACGACAATCTCGGCATCGGTAAACTCACCAGCCTCGACGTTGAGCTTGAAGCTCGACGAGGTCTTCTTGTCGTGGAACGTCTTGACCATCGACGGGTACGAGTAGCGCCGGAACCGCGAGTCGTCGGCCTCGTCCTCCTCGGCCGTCTCGGCCACCTTGAACGTGAGCGCCTCGTTGCGGAACCGCAGGTTCTCCGTCGGGATAAAGCCGGCGAGGAAGATGTTGATGCCCTCGCGGACCGAGTACGGCATGGTGACCACGCCGTACACACCGGGCTTGCCGTACAGCACGCACACGTAGTCCGAGAGGTAGTCAAGGACCGAGAGATCGTGCTCCACAACCACGCAGTACGTCGAGTCGTCCTTCACCAGGTCGCGGATCACCCGCGCCGCAGTCAGACGCTGCTTGACGTCCAGGTACGACGACGGCTCGTCAAACATGTACACATCCGCCTCCTGCACCGCCACCACGCAAATGGCAAACCGCTGCAGCTCGCCACCTGACAGCGCCTTGACATCACGCTGCTGCACATCCTCCAGCTCCAGGAGCTCGATGAGCTCGGCCTCGTTGTCCCGCTCAGACTTGGCCTCCAGAATCGAGCCCACTGTACCCTTGACCGCCTTGGGAATGTGGTCCACGTACTGCGGCTTGACCACGCACTTGATGTCGTCCTCCAGGATCTTGGTAAAGTAGTTCTGCAGCTCCGACCCGCGGAAGTACCGCAGAATGTCTTCCCAGTCCGGCGGGTCCTCAAAGTCGCCCAGGTTCGGCTTCTGCTTGCCGGCCAGCACCTTGAGCGCCGTCGACTTGCCAATACCGTTCGTCCCCACAAGCCCCAGCACCTGCCCCGCACGCGGCGTCGGCAGCCGATGGAGCTTGAACGAGTTGGCACCGTACCGGTGCGTCGTCTGCTTCGACAGGTTCTTCGGCAAGTTGATGATCGTGATCGCCTTCATCGGGCACTTGCGCACGCAAATACCACATCCATTGCAGAGCTCCTCAGAGATCCACGACTTCTTCGACTTGGACGTCACCTCGATGCACAACTTGCCTACAACCCTCGTACCACACACAAAGAGAGAGCGCGCACCCTCGCCATCATGAGTCCTCATCCGATCAAGCTACCGAGCCCCATTTGTCCGCACACGACCCATCGGGCTGCCCATCGGGCTGCCCATCGGGCCCTGCGTCCAGAGCAGCAAAAATACACCCGCACACGCTCGCCTCTGCCTTTCGATCAGCGCGCCACCATCAATCCAAACCGCTTCCCAGCCCCATTCCCAGGCCCAAGCCCGCCATCTAGAGTGCGCCCAGCTACAGCTGACCATTGTGCCCTGCCAAACGCACCCAATCGCATCCAATCGAGGTCAACGAGGTCGGGTCGGTCCGGCGCCGTCGGACAGAAATCTTCCCAAAGTGACCAAGCCGAGTTCCAAGGGCGTCCACTGAGCGACAAAAGGCGAGCGAACCTCACGAGCCATACCCCACATAGTGGACTCGTTGGGTAGAGCATTGGGCGAGGTACATGTAGTGTCCAGTCATGGACGTGTCACACGGATGTGTCGTTGAGGATGGCGGGAGGAAAGACCAGGAGTGGGCGTTGCCTGGCAACAAGACGCCCAATCACCATCCGCCGAGTTGGAGGGCGGCGGCAGCAGGGGGGGGGGGGGGGGGGGGGGGGAGGCCATGACAAGGTACTACACAATACCAGGATAGGGGTGGTACTCATGGAGAGAGAAAGGGCAAGCAATGTTACGTACCCATGCGAACAACGGGGCAGTTGCGCTTGCACTCGAGGCCGCAACGACGCGGCTTGCACCGCTCAGCCTCAACAATGGCAACTCGGGTGAGCTTCTCCGACGACATGGATCACACCGGAGAGAGAGAGGTATGCCTTCCGACGATGATGATCGATGATGACCGGTGATGGTGGCGGTGTTGAAGTACGAGAGGAAGGTGTGGGCGGAATGGCCCTGGATGGCCCTGGATGGCGGTAGTTGTCCCATCGCACCCGTGCTGAAGCTTGAGGAGGGTACAGCAGACGTGGTTGGAGCCGGGGAGGCACGCGAGGTTGGCTTATAGAGGCGGTGGGACAGGGGCACACGCACTACCATTGCCATCATCCACGATCTGACTACCGACAATTGGGTGATAACTATGTGCGGCGGTTGCTCGATCGCATGTGTCTCTCTCTCCCTCCTCATCTCCCTTGCTTGGCCTTAGTTGGCCTAAAGAGAGGCAGCGGCAGGCATCGCCAAGCTCTGCCAAACTGCGGCAACGGACAGGCTGTCGACACGGCACAATGCCCAAGACCACATACACGTCTCCCAACAAACCACTCACGCTACAAATGGGTTGTGGTGCGTCATCACCATCTCCGGATGACCCACCGCTGCGCAGGACCAAGGCAGGCGGGCGAGAGCAAGAGTCGGCAGGGGCTGGAAGTGAGCCGAGGCACTCCACGCCGGCGCGCAAGTCGTCCAAGGCGGGCAAGTCGCGATCAAAGTCGCCAAAGGAGCCGGCACGGTCACCAGCAACGTTGTCAACCAAGACACGAGGCCAGAGCCCAGAGCAGAAGCCGAGCTCACACACTGATCCGCTCCCGTTGTGGATTCGATGGGCAAACGGGCTCGAGCCGGTGGCGCCCCCGGGCACGCCCGCCGACCAGGTGGCGGCTGCAGCTCGGGTCAGTTCCGATGGATGGCTCGTGCTCCGGGGATGTACTGATCTGGCTGACGGCGATGTCGGGGCTATGCTGGACCGGATTGGAGCCGACGTGGTGGCGCTTGATCTGCGTGCTACTCTTGTCTCGGCCCAGGTACTCTATGAGGTAGCGAGCAACTGCCCGCTTGTCCAGGTTGTTCTTCTTGACGACGATGCGCTAGCGGCGCCCGACGCTGATCCGCTGATGGACGGCTCGCTCGTCGCTCCTGACTCCCCGTCTGACTCGATCGGATCCGGTGGCGCGCTCAAGTGGCTTCACTCCATGGTGGAAGGCCACCCCGTCCTCCCACGCCTGCTCACTCTATACGGCGTGTACGACGAGTACTACGACGCTGCGGACTACGGCCTCGACAACCTCGCGTTGTTACTTGAGGAGGACGCGCTCGATCCACGGGCGTCTCTTGCCCTCCCGCCGCGCGCACTCGTTGCCCCGCACCGCATCGCCGACGCGCTTGTTGCCGTCACCTCGAACGCCGCCGCCGTCACTCTCCGGCCCGGCAACGTGGACAACGACGACGATGATGACTTGGCTACCCCGGCGTTGTGGCTGCCGACGCTCTCGGCTTTTCTGGCCCGCCCTCCGGTCCAAGCCGCGCTCACCCGCCTCGTGCTCTTTGACACCCAACTCTCCGCTGACGACGCCGCACGCATCGGCACCGCGCTCACCTCGGGCGTCATCATGCCATCGCTCACCCATCTTTCGTTTGAGATGAACGAGCTCGGCGACTCGGGCGTCTCCGCCATTGTCGATGCCCTTGCTTCGCCGCAAGCACCGGCTGCGCTGCCCAACCTTGTCTCGCTCAACCTCAACTGCGTTGCCTGTGGGGTCGATGGCGCCGCCGCGCTCGGTGCGCTCATCTGCGGCTCTCACACTCTCACCGCCATTACAGCCTACGCCAACGAGGACATCGGCAACCGTGGCGCCGCCGCTCTCGCCGCCGCGCTCTCGCTGCCGGAGACTCGGTCGATCTTAGCCCTCCTTGACCTCGGCGCTTGCGACATCGGCTCGCCCGGTATCGACGCGCTCGCGTCGTCCGCCCTTTTTGCCCGCGATGGCAGCATTCCCCTCCGTGCCCTCCGCCTCAACGGTAACGCCGTCGACGACGCCGCCGTCGCCCACCTCCTCCCGGCGCTCGCCCGCGCCCACTCGCTCACCTCGCTCGATCTCATGTCCAACGCACTCACTCAAGCCGGCGCCAACGAGCTCCTCACCGCCGCCGCCGCCGAGCCGCGCCTCGCCCATGGCGGCATCCTGCTTGACGCTGCCCTCACCCAGCTCTTGCCGAGTCTGTAAGCAGGAAGAGACATCCAAGAGGCGGGCGGGCGGGCGTGCTGGATTTGTTCCGCCATGACAACAACAAACGAACAGACAATGCCCAAGCCACTCAACTCGGCGGCGAACACCGTCGCAAGAGCCGCCAAGCCGCACCGAGAGAGCGAGAGCGGATCGGCACTCGCACCTCACGGCCCTCACCTCCTACCGCTTGCACCTCTCGAACAGTGTATATGCAGGGAGTAGCACTGTTGTCTCGAGCTTGGCTTGCTCTGGTCGTTCTTGTGGCAGTAGGCCCAACGCTCCGACTCTGCCTCGCCTTCCCAGTGTGCTTGCCTGGCTCGTTCTTTGATGCCACCACTTCGAGCTGCCAACCTTGTCCTCCGGGATATGCATGCGGATACAATGTGACATCGCCGTTGATATGTGACCCAGGCACAGCAACGCCTGTCGGTGCTTCCTTCTGTCCAGATTGTCCTCCAGGCACTCATGCGCCTGTTGCCGGCTCTATCGCTCCGTGCAAGCCGTGCCCAAAAGGCACCGCCACCGATCAATCCGGCCAACAGCGGTGCTCGAGCTGCACGCCCGGCTTTGCAGCCCCCAATCTCGGCTCATTGGCGTGCGTGCCGTGCCTCCCGGGCACATACGCGCCGGCCGGAAACGCATCTGTCTGCGATCCGTGTCCGCGCGGCTCAGCAAGCGCTGCTCCTGAGGCCACCTTTTGCACTCCCTGCTCAGCAGGCACCTTTGCGCCCAATGATGGCGCCCTGGTGTGCTCGCCGTGCCTCCCGGGCTCGTTTTCCACAACTGATGGTGCGCCCGGGTGTACCCTCTGTCCGATCGGGACGGCGCAGCCTGCTTCGGGCGCCAGAGCGTGCGAGAGTTGCAAGCCGGGTTTCTTTGAGGGTAGCGAAGGCGCCCCAAGCTGCTCGCGCTGTCCGATCGGCACCTACCAGCCGTCATCCGGCGCGTCGGGCTGTATCGCGTGCCCGCCTGCCACCTCTTCGTCTCCCGACTTTACCTCGTGCGAGCCATGCCCGGTCGGCACCTTCAATCCAGTTGACGGCGGCGAGTGCCAGCCGTGCCCGGCCGACGCGTTCACCAATGTCACCGGATCGCTGTCGTGCAAAGCGTGCGCCGCTGGTGGCGCCGGTAGCCAGCCGATTGCAGACCGCTGCGTCTCGGCACCAGGCTTTCGCACCGATCCGGCGACCGGCGCGTATGTAGCGTGCCAGGTCGCCGCCGCCTGCTGTCTCGGCGAGCTCTGCGGGCCGTGCGGTGCGGCAACGAGCAAGCCAGCGTATGTCGGGAGCCTGTGCGAGTCGTGCGCGCCAGGCTTTTACTCTCCCAGCAACAATGGCGTTTGTTCTCAGTGCCCCAACTACTCGGGCTTTGTCATCGCCGGCCTGGTCGTCGCTGTTCTGGTTGTCTGCCTCGTCCTTGTCCGGACAGCCAAGTCGGGCAAGTTGTACTTTACCTCGATCTCGATTGCGTTCAACTTTTTCCAAGTCACCGCTGTCCTCATCACCTTTGATCTCGGGTGGCCATCGTCGGTCCGCTCGCTCTTTGAGCGGCTCTCGGTGTTTTACTTCAACCTCGACGTGGTCTCGCTCGACTGCACCTCGTCAGGTGGCATGTCGTACGAAACCAAGTGGCTGCTCAAGCTGCTCTTTCCGCTCGCTTTTGTCGCCATGTTTCTCCTCATTTACATCTGCATCCTCATCCACGGCCTGCTCCTCGCGTGCCGGGCGCGGATACAGCGGAAGCGGGCGGCCAAGGCGCGCGGCGATGCCGGCACCTCACTCCTCGCGCACGACGTGATCCAAGTGTCATCGGCGTCTACGCCGTCGACGGTCCTTGCCCTCATCAACAACGCCAAGTACCGCCGTGCGTGCATCAACGCCTGTCTCTCGCTCTTTTCCATTGTGTACATCATGCTGCTGGTGACCATGCTCGAGGTCTTTGACTGCGCACGGCCGGATGGCGCGGGCGCGGGCTCGGCAAGGACCATGCGCGCCGCGCCGCTCATTCCGTGCACAACAGCGTCGGCGCAATGGACCTGGCTCCGCAACGCTTCGGTCATCGGTCTCGCGTTTTACGGCATCGGCATTCCTGCTGCCTTTGCGGCCGTTCTCCTTGTCCAGCGCGAGCGGCTGCACCACCCGTCAGCGATTGCTATCTGCGGCCTCCTGTACCGACGTTACCGGTCGGAGCACTACTTGTGGGAACTGGTCATTTTGGCGCGCAAGATCGGAGTGGTCGGCGGCAAGTTGTTGGCGGGGCAAGTTGACTTGCAGATCATCCTCATTGCGGCGGTCATGGTCACTGCCCTCGGCTTTCAACTCGGCAGCCAGCCATACATCGAGCGAGCCACGAACCGGCTGGAGCTCATATCACTCTCAGCGTCGTCGCTCATTCTCTCGCTCGGCGTGGTGCTGTACCGCGTTAATGCGCGAAAGGGCGAGAGCGCACTGCTCGAGGCGATGCAGTTTTGGACGGCGCTGCTTGTCATCGGCCTGGTAGGTGTCTTCTCCGCCATCATTCTGGTGGCTGTTGCGGTCGAGATTGTGCACATCCGCAACATGCAGCTCGCCGGCATTGTGGGCGGGTACGCGACCGACAACGTCCATGTCTTCTCACACTTTTTCACCTCGCACTTTCGCATTGTCTCGCAGCTGCAGTACTCGACAACGAGCGACGGGCGGCTCTCGCTTGTTCTGCAATACGGGAATGAGGAGGCGGCGACGGTCGACGCGCGGATCCGATCCGAGACCCGCGCCACAAGCCACGGGCCGACGGCGGTCTCGCTGACGACGACGCAGCTGGCGAACAGTGGAGAGGCGCGCGACGAGCGCGCGCTCGACATGAGCCTGGTCGTCCAGCACAATCCCGAGTACCACACTGTTCATCTCGACGTGCTCTTCTACAAGTCAGGTCGGTACGTCATGGTAGTCTCAGGCGGCGCGCCGATTGTGCCCTCTACGGGGTGGTGTTGGGGTCGGTGCGGGCGCGACGCCAACCAGGATGGTAACGACGTGTGGCACCCGCGGCGAGCGCTGCTCGACTACCGCTCGACGGTGACAGCCGATGCTGACGCCGACGTGGCGGCGCATCCGCGCCAAGACATCATCGACGTCGACGCCCTGACTGGCCACGGCGCGGTGGTGGTGACGCCGATCACGGCGATACTCGACACTGGCTCGTTGGTCACGTTCCGGGCGGTTGTTCTCGGCGCAGCATACGTGGCTGTCCACTACCTTGACCGCAACGTGCTGACGCTGCTCGCGCGCGAGTCGCTCTCAGACGGCCCCGGCGAGACCATCCCGGCCGACGGCCTCCACGCGCCGTCGCTTAACGAGGATGTGGCGCCTGGGTACTCGGATGTGTTTTCAGGCGACGTCGAGATCGCAGCGTCGGGCGAGTATGTGCTTGTGGCTTTCCTGCCGTACCTATCGGACGAAGCGCGCGAGGGTGTGGCGCGGCCGGCACCAATCCTCGCCAACACGCCGTCGATCGTGCGAGCGAGCTCGTCGGTAGACTGGAGCGCCAAGCCGCGTGCGCGCGACATGACCGATCTCCGCAAGCAGATTCTGTGGAACATCGAGCCGCCGCTAGGTGGTTCGAGCGCTCGAGTGTCCAAGTCACCGCGAGGCGGGTTGGGCGCTCGTGACTCGGATAGAGCGAGTGGATCGGACTCGTGGTCAGATGCATCGGGCGCCACTGGACATGCCGTGCGGTTGTCGAACGTCGCAGACATGGATGGCCATCGGGGCGCTAGCCAGTCTTCAGCGCTGGGCGACTCGTACGACGAGTACGATGCTGGCGAATACGGAGGATATGGCGATGGGTATGGGTATGGGTATGGGTACGAGTACTCTGAGCAGCACGAAAGCCTGTTTGGCGAAAGCAATGGCCACGTCGTGGGCAAGGGAAAGACGAAGGCCAAGGGCAAGGGAAAGGGAAAAGCCAAGGCAAAGACGAAGGCAAAGGCAAAGGCAAAGGCAAAGGCAAAGGCAAAGGGCAAGAGCAAGGCCAGGGTGCTGGACGAGGACAAGGATGTGGCGGATGTGGCGGTCGAGCTGGAACGGCTGCGGCGGGTGGTGCTGGTGCAGTATGCAGCCGAGCTGCGCGCCGATGTGGTGCCTATATTTGGCGACGACGACGATCGCGAGGCGCCGCACGTTGCGGTGCTGCCCACGACGCCGCATGTGGGAGGTGGGGACGATGGCCCTGGCCGAGGCCGCAGTGCCTGGGACAAGCCGGGCAGCGCGCGCGACGAGAGTGCAGGAAGCCCGAAGACCCGGACCAGGAGCGCCAGTCGCGGTGTGGCTGATGACGGCGGCGACGGCGGTAGCGGCGGCGGGCGTGCGCCCGAGTCGCGGATGTCGTCACAGTCGCGGTCGGTTCGGGAGTTGAGCCGGAGCCGCGGGTCAACGCCGCAGTCGCGGGAGGTCTCTGCCTCACCGGCGCGGTCAATATCGCAGAGCTCACGGCCGGCCCGGCGAGGCCAGCCGCGGCGATCAGCGTCGCTGCAGCCGCAAGCGGCCGACAATCTAGTCAGCGTGGCGCTGGCGGCCTCGGGCCCGGGCCGGGTGCGGCGGTCGGATACGCGGACGCGATCACGATCACGATCGCGAGTGGTGGTCGACGACGACTTTGACTCATCGTCGTCGACCAGTGGACATGGGTTCAGCTGTCGACTTGAGCAACAGCACTCGCGGTCGATGCCCCGTGTTGACCGCCTGCACATGCTTGACGATCTGTAATGTGAATGAACATCAGGCAACACACATACCCACATGCAGCTACAGGTATCCATCATGATTGCCACGCCGATAATGGACCATCATTGATTCCCTTCATCTCACGATCATGTGCCATGTCATGTCATGTCATGTCCCATGCCAGCAGCAGTCTTCCAAGGACGGACACGCAGGTCAGCAGACCAGGGACCTTCCCCCTCCCCCCCCCCCCCCCCTTTCCCCACTTTCCCGCACAACTTCAACCATGGCGAGAGACACGGCCACAGACACACCTCACGCACAGCAGCACAAGTCGTGTCCTGGAAGGGAGTACCTGGTCCAACTACATAGATTGCAGCTAGAGGTAGAGAGGCAGAGAGGCAGAGAAGGGAAGGTCTGCGGCTATGAGCATTCCCAGCCCCACCTCGACAGGTCGGCTGGCGGAGCCACGGCTGACCCCGTATCAGGAGTAAGTGGAAGGGGAGGGGAAGAGGGAGGGGGGGGGGGAGGAGGTATGGTGGTGGTGGTGGTGGTAGGCATCATCATCATCATCGTCATCGCCACACCCATCACGCCCATCACCCTCATCACACCCATCACCCTCATCACACCCATCACACACGCACTCCATACTCACTCAACGGATGGGCACAGGGCAAAGGTGTACGACCCGGCGTCCGCACGCAGCAACTACAGCCGCCCGCTGCGCAGCTCGAGTGTGCACCCGGCTCCCGAGGAAGAGCCGGTGGCTACGGCCATCAGCCGCCCACAGACGGCGGCGACAAGCCGGCCGTCACGATGGTCGGCGCGCCGGCCGGCGACTGCGCCTGCGCGCCGGCTACGGGTGACGTCGGAGGAGTCACGGCAGGCGTGGCAGGCGCTCGAGTCGCGGCTGAAGACTCCGCTAGAGGTGCAGCCGCGCCGCCGCCGCCCAGCGACAGCGCAGGCCGGGCGCGCACGGCCACGCCCGACGCCACGTTCCGCGCGCTCGACTCCTGGAACCTCGTCGTTCACCCGCTACACCGGGTCGCCCGGCTACCAACCGCACGATTACAGCGGTGTGGCGGTATCGCCACACCGCGGTGCCCGCGCGAGCTCGCACGACACGCTGCGCCCGCTCTCGACCGCCTCTGGACGGACGCTGGGCGAGCTCGACGAGACCATACCGGTCGGTGACGAGCTCCGAGTCATCTCGCCAGGCTACTCGGGTGTCTCGGCCTCGCCCGGTCCCGTCCCACGGCGAGCTGCGTACGAGTACGACGACCCGGTCAACGAGGTCGGCTACACCCAGCCGCCACACACCCCGACCGGCTGGGCGCCGACGCCGCCGGTCGGCATGCGGCAGCAGCGGTGGTCATCGCGCCTCATGATGCAGTACTACGAGGCGCCCGACGTCAAGTTTGGCAAGCCTGACCCGGCCGCGGTCGCCGCCCACGCGGTCGTCCCGCGTGCCGCACCCGGTGCCTCGGGCGAGCCTGTCGAGTACATCGGCGTCGATAGCGCCTCGCACACCTTCCGCTTTTATCGCCCGGCACCGGCACGCGGCCCGGCGCGCACGCTCTGCTAGCACGTCTTCCCCTCAGCCTCAGCTCTGGTTCTTGGCCTTCCGCTTGCGCTTCTTAACCTTGACCCGCCGCCCACTCGGCGACGGCGGCGGCTGGAGCTTGGGCGTCACGCCGAGCTCGGGCATCGGCGTTGGCGTCCCGCCCGATGAGACCGAGCGCTTGGGCGAGCGGTGCTTGTGCGAGCGGCGCTTGCGGCGCCGCCCGCTCGGCGACGGAGGCACGCCTCCCTTCGGCCGGATCGGCTCGGGCCGCGAAGCCGCGGCCCGAGCGGCGGCGGCGGCCCGCGCAGCAACGCGCTCAGCCTTGGCCTTGGCCTTGGCCTTCTTCTTCTTGGCCTTGCGCGCCGCAAGGATGATGCCTGCAATCTCCTCGACCTTGGCCATGGCCTGGGTGTGCAGCCGTTTGGCCTGGGCAGTGACATAGGTGTACATGGTCTCGCGGCCAGACTTTTTGCGGACGAGATACATAAACTGCTTCTTGGACTCGTTGATGAGGAAGCACGTGATCTGTCGGTACTTGTGCATCTGCAAAAGCCGGCGCGCCTCCACAAAATTGGGGTCGCGCGAGTACACCATGACCGAGATCTCGTCAAACTCAATCTCCACGTCGCGCTCGACGCCCGATGCCAGAAGCTCCTTACACGGGACCCAGGCAAAGGCGGGCACAATCGACTTGCGCCGGCTCCGCATCCGTGGGCGCAGATGCGGCGGGAGTGCCGCCCCAAGTCCGCCCTTACCCGCACCCGCGAGCACATTCCGCGACGAGACAGCCTTTGACAGCCCGCGCCGCCCGTCCGACGCTCCGGCACTGCCGTCGACGCCCGACTCCCCGATGTCCTCGTACCGCGGCGGCTGGTCGTCCGACTCGAGGCCCGACAGCGGGTCCATAGCCTCGGCTTCCATCATGGCCCGAATCGCCGCCGGGTTCATCGCCTGCGACCGCGACTTGCGCATACCGCGGAACATACCGCTCTTGCGCTTCTTCTTGCCCTTGCCCTTGCCCTTGCCCTTGCCCTTGCCCTTGCCCTTGCCCTTGGAGCTTCCGCTGTCGCTGGTCTCGCTGGCCTTGCCGCCCATGCCCTGCTCCGCAGATTCCGCTGCCACCGCCGCTGCCGGCCCGGGCCCAACATCGCCCAGCAGGACGGTCTTCTCATCGCCCGGGCCATCGAGCCAGCCCGAGAGCGAGTCGACCGAGCCGCGACGGTTGCGGCGGAGCGCAAAGGCGGCCGGCGAGGTTGCAAGCATGCTCGGCGACGCCGCACCGCCAGGCTCCAGCCTTCGCATCATCTCGGCCTCAAGCTCGGCAGCCTCGTCCTCGTCGTCCCCAAACGACGAGCCCCAATCCGAGTCCGAGTCGAGAATCCACGTGCCCGAGTCCCTCCTTCTCCTCTCGCCCATCAGCGATTCAAATCTCGCCAGATTGAACGCCTTACGACGTTCGAGCTCGTCGTCCAACGAGTCTGCATCCAACTCGGATGAAATGGATCGGGCCTCCTTTCCCTTGGCCTTGGCCATCCTCCGCCGAGCCACACTCCGCGCGCCAGCACGGGCCATCGGCTGTGACGATGACGGCTGGCTGCTCTGCTGCCACTCATTGATCAATGTTGATGATGTTTCCGCTCTGACCAGAGTACCCGGGCCAGCAGAGCCACCACCACCACCACCATCATCTGGCCGAGAGACTGGAGCCGAGACGTTTGACCAAGACGAGGCCGAAGCCGAAGCCGAAGCCGAAGCCGAAGCCGAGTTTGAGCTACCACCTCCACCGACATTGTCCGACTCGTACTCGTACGACTCGTCACCACTTGCCCATCCCTGTGGCCTCTTGCTCGCTTTAGGGAGTGTGAGCATGGGAATGGGAGAGGTGTCTGCGTGACAAGGTGGAGGGGTGTGGCTGGATCGTTGCAAGTGCTAGGGGGGGTGGGGGATGGGCTTGATCTCGAGGTTGGGAGGAGTTGCGGGTATGAGGAGGGGGGGAGGGGGGGAGGGGGGGGGGGGGGGATGGTGTAGGGGATGGGAGGTGATGGAAGGGAGGAGCGCGAAAGGGGGGAGGGGCGGAGGGGGAAGGGGGAGGGGAGGAGGGGGAGGTCAACGACGGCTGGGTCGTGTAGAGGCGGGGGATGGCGATATCGGGGGATGCAGAAGGTCGCTTCTTGGGTACAGGATAGTACAAGGTGTACTACTGGAGTAGAGGTGGAGGTAAGGCAGTGATTGGCGGTGGGTGGGTACAGTAGTGCCCAGAGTAGGTGCTGGCAGGAGGCTGCCAAAAGAACTGCACGCGTGCGCACGCGCGTGCCTTGCTTACATCGACTAATCACTCGAGATGTTATCGTCCCAGCTCGAAGGATCCATCGTCGGATCCATCGTCGCAGCCATGGACCTGATAGGGGGATATTAAACAGTGGGAACGAGTGGTAAAGCATGTAGGCAGCAGAGGCGAGCTGCACAGAGTCGCGATCAAAGCCACTAGCGCATGCGGGCTCGAACAAGATGCTCGACAAAGGGTCGCGATCGCGATCGATCGCGTCCGCTCTCCGACACTGCTATGCGCGCTCGATGCGCTCATTCACGAGCCTGATTCCAGCTAGTATCCAGTCTGCACCCCATTAGTTTATCTTTACGCGTGATGGCATGGATTTGGCAGCTCTAAACAAGCCATCGCCCCTGGTCGGAACTGATCCGCAACTGAGCTGCATGTTCGGTGATCAAGCGTGCACAAATCGTCCATGCAGATGCGGTGACATAGTAAACACAGGGCGACCTTTCCACGCTGCACCATCATCGCCCGAAAGTAAGAGTCGCAAGAAGACAATGTGACTCGATCGCTTGTGTAGCTTGCTGTAGGACGGGCGACACGAGTCCGAGCAGCTCGATTTCGTAGCTGCGGGAGGGAGTAGCTGCGGGAGGGAGCAGACGGAGCCGTCCCGGCCACGATGTTTCCGGCGATCCACACACCGAAACAGCGATCGCGCACAGGAAAGGACACCCATTTTAGCTGAGCGTCATTCAGTCGTGCTGACATACTGACTGGCGATTGGGCTGGCTGGCTGGTTGACGATGAGGCTCGCGGAGTGGCGGTTGGTCGGGCTATCGGCCAGCGGCCGTTAGCCACCGCGGACACGCCAGCACACCGCACTCACTCTGTGTGTGCCACCCAGTTGTGTAGAGAGGCATGCCGCTGACACTTGGGGAGGGAGTTGTTGAGGAGGCTGGGGGCAATGGCGACGATACATCGACTGCATACCGGCCATACGCCACGCTGTCCGAGGCCGAGCACGAGGCGCAGCTGATGACGGCGACGGCGCTGTATCGGCATCCCGTCCACGCTGCGTTGGATCTTGCTGATCCTGCTGAAGAGGGGGTGAACACGGCGACCGTGGCGTATGCCAATGCTGCACGGGCGTCGAGGGCCACCGAGCTTGCCGTCCGGCCGTACACCAATCTGGAGCAGATGCACTTTGGCCCGCTGGGCAAGGTCAAAGGCAGGGGCGAGACGGCTACAAGTGACGAGGCTGCCGAGGCCGCGCGGCTGCGGGTCCTGCGGCATCTAGAGGGCCGGGTGGAGGGCTACACCGGGTTCAAACCGGGCCTTCGCGACACGGTATCCATCGCCACGGCCGAGTACGCCCGCTGGCAGTTTGACCACTCGCACTCGGCGACGCAGGCGAAGAGCCCGGCCGAGGTCAAGCGCGAGGCGGTGGCGGCGAAGCGGGCGCGTGAGCGTGCCGAGCGGCATGCACTGATCGAGAAGCTCAAGGCCGAGCGCCGGGCTCGTGGCCTGCCCGACGGCGATGACCACATCGACGACGCACCGCGCCCGCCGGCACCGACCCGTGGCCGCATCGCGGGCTGCACCAAGTTTGTGGCAGGCTTTGAAGATGCGCTCGGCGCCTCGCAGGCGCGCTACACAGCGGCATGGTACCAGAACCACTTTACAGAGGACGGCGAGCGGATTGGCGAGTTGTAGCCGGCCAGGATACGGTCGTGTAAACGAGGGCGCGGCCACTCTGTGCCGTGAAGGGCTCACTCAAAGATGTGTAGGTCGCGCGCGACAGGCCACGGCTCATGGTGCGACGGCGCCGGAAAGGCGATGGGCACAAAGGCGCCCGGTGCAAGGACGTGGACCACGGCGCCAAGGTTGCCACACCTGCCGAGGTAGTTGGGCACCGACCAGACGGTGTAGAGCTTGGAGGGGAAGATCTCGGCAAAGCCGAGGTGGACAAGTGAGTTGCCGGTGATGACCGTCGTGAGGCTGTTTGCCGCCAGGAACGTGTCGAGCGCAGCCTCTGAGTAGGTGTATCCGAGCCCGCGCGGCGAGAGCGAGAACGCGGCGTCGCTCGGCTCCCGGCTCGCCGGCATCGACCACATGAGGTCGGTGAGGGCGCCCTCGGGTGGAATCTCCATAAATCGGTCGAGCGCCGCGAGCTGGTCCAGCGACTCGATCGATGGCGAGAGGCCACCGTGGAGGACGAGGACCGAGCCGAGGGTGGCGGCGATGGGCAGAACGTTAAACACGCCGAGCAGAGCCTCATACGGCCCCTCGTCGCCGTAGAGGTCCATGCACTCGTCGCGCAGGCCGTACAGCTCAGCCGCAGCCCGGGTCTCATGGCCAGACCGCAGGAGCGTACATCGTGCCGGCCATCGGAGCGCACAGAGGATGAGCTCGGCCATGACCGCCACCGACGCCGGCCCGCGGTTGACGTACGCGCCGAGAAAGACGTACGAGATATCCGGAAGCGGGCCTGCCACCGCAAAGACTTCGCGGAGCGCTGAAACCGAGCCGTGTACATCGCCGACGACCGCCACAGGTGGGGCGATGTCCACCACGTTGGCCACAGCGATCATCTTTGCCTCCAGCGCCCCGGCCGCCGCCGACAGCACGTCGACATGCAGCTGCTTCCCCTCGCGAACACCTGCCAGCAGCTCGTCCAGCTCGTTGTCAGAGAACTGGGCCCGGCTCATTGTCGCATGCGGTGAAGAAGGGGGGGGGGGAAGGAGAGCGGCGTGGGTAACACGAGTTGGCTGTGGCTGTGGCTGTGACGGTGGCTGTGGCTGTGGACTTCCGCCGAGTGGCTGTCGGCCGGCCATCACTCGTCGAGCCGGCCGACCACCCTGGACCCCGCCGCGGCCCATCGCCCGACCCACCGCCCAACCCACCGCCAGCGCCACCGTCACCTTCCACACTCCACCGTCACCCTCCTCCTCTCCACCTTTACCACCCACCCACCTCTCTACATAGTACGCACCACCCCCACTCCCCGTACCACCGCCCCAACCTTAACCACCCTCTCCCCACCCCACCCCCCACCGTACCCCCTCTTGCCCCGCTGTTCTATCCTCTCCCCCCCCAACGACTGCCAGTGCGCGCCAAAAAACGACCTGCAGCAGAGCCGCCCCTCCTCCTTCCCCCCTCCCCCTCTGTCCCCTCTGTCCCCTCTGTCCCCCCTGTCCCTCTCACATCTGAGTATGATGTAGTGTCTCTTCGATCTGACTTTGGCTTCTCTCCGCGCAAGGCACGGCGGCGACGGCCGGAGCTCAATGACGAACAGCTGCAGGAGGTGAAGGAGGCCTTTGAGCTGTTCGACACGGACAAGGACGGGCGCATCGACTACCACGAGCTCAAGGTCGCTATGCGGGCACTCGGCTTTGATGTGCGCAAGGAGGAGGTTCTCCGCATTCTGCAGGACCTGGACAAAGACGAGGCCGGGACCATCGACTTTTCCGAGTTCAAGGGCGTCATGGCTGTCAAGATCTCTGAGCGCGATCCGCTGGACGAGATCCGCAAGGCCTTCCGCCTCTTTGACGAGGACCAGACCGGCTTTATCTCGCTCAAGAACATGCGCCGCATTGCCAAGGAGCTCGGCGAGCACATGACCGACGAGGAGCTGCAGGCCATGATCGATGAGTTTGATCGCGACCAGGACGGCATGATCTCCGAGTCGGAGTTCTGCGCCATCATGCTTCCCGACGACGACCTCAACCTGTAACCACCCTTCCAACCACCCCATCACCCTACCACTCCACAACCTATGCCCCGCTCTCTGTCCCCCCGTCTCCCTCCCGGTGCTGCTCGAGCTGACGAATGCGTATCTGCTCGGACCGCCCTCGTTTGTTGCCCCTCGCCTGCCTGCGCCTGTCGCCTGTCGCACCTGCTCGCAATGAACTATCGATCCCCCCTCCCCTTCCCCCCTCCTCCCCCACTCACTTCCGCGTGCGCACCTCTTGCCTGCTCGCCGCGCGAACCACCACGTCGGATGTGTGTCGGCCACTCGCCGCACCTCACCCACCCCCACCCAACCCCACCCAACCCCCTCCCTGCCATAGCCTTCCACGCAAGCATGAACATAAGCGCGAGCGTGTACACCGCTGCGGTGATGCGGAGCCTCGCGCGGGCGTTCACCACCGCCACCGTCTCGCGCGCAACCTCGCACGCACCCTTGCACGAAACCGAGTCGTCAGCTTCGTCGGCTCTGGCGGCAGCTCTTCGAGTGGTAGCGGTCATTCCCGCGCGCGCCGGCTCAACCCGGCTTCCAAACAAGCCGTTGGCGAATTTGACGCCTGATCTGGAGACAAAATGGACGGTCATCGATGCGGTTGTCTCGGCGGCCATGGACGCCGGTGAGCTCGACGACGTCATTGTGGCAACCGACTCGCCCGACATCGCGGCCGCGGCCGACGCTGCTGGCGCGCATGCTGTCCTCACCCCGGCTGACTTGCCCACGGGCTCGGATCGAGTCCATCACGCCCTACGCCAGCTCCATGCCTCGCGCCATCCGTCGGTTCGCTCGCTTGCGGGCGTCGTCAACCTGCAGGGCGATGAGCCGTTTGTCGATCCGCACCTCATTGACGCCCTCGCTGCCGAGCTCCGCGCCGCCGCCGCCGCTACCGCGCACTCGCACGCCTCGGCGCCCGACATTGTCACCGCCGCCGTCGAGCTGCCAGATGGTATTGCGCCTCCGGATCTTGACATGGTCTCGGTCGTCGTCGACCACGCCTCGCGTGCGCTATACTTTTCCCGCGCTGCGCTCCCGGCCGCCGCGCCGCACGCCGACACTGCTTCGCACCCTTCCCCGCCGCCATTTCTCGCCCACCTCGGCATCTATGGCTACACTCTGCCTGCGCTTGACGCCTTTGTCGCCGCGCCGCGGCCCTGGATCGAGCAGCGCGAGATGCTCGAGCAGCTCCGCGCCCTCTATCTCGGCCTCCACATCCACGTCGTCACCACCACTCCGCCCAACACGCTCTTTCCCTGGCCTCCCATCGCCATCGACACCCCTGACGACCTCCACCGTGCCCGCTCATGGCTCGCGTCCCGCAACCAACCGGCGACCAGCGGAGGACCAGCACCCGCAAGCATCACCTCCTGATTTCGTGCGTTTGCACACGAAAAACAGGTCACACGCTTTGCAACGGCGCGTGCGGGAAGAAACGGCATTCGACTCGCTCTTCATTACGCGTGCGTTCTTCCCTCCCTCCCCCCCCTCCCCTCCTCTCCCTGCCCTGCGTCTCCGGCCCTCAGTCAAGGCCCCCCAACGCGAATACAAGTTGCTCATCATCAGACCACACAGCACATGCAGCATCCCCGCTCCGAGGAGCTTTTCTGCACACATATCGTTGCGGGCTAGCCGTGGAAACGGAGGTGGAAAGCTGATTGTACCAGGCCGTTTTTTCGCCTTCCCATATTGCAGCTGGTCGCCTTGCCCGCTTTTCTTAGCCCTTTTTTTTCGGTGTCGGGCACTCCCACTCACTCCGCATCTCCTTCGCCAACGGCTTCTGAATTCTTTTGGGCTTTGTCCACCTCCATGCCAATGCCCATACCCATAGGCAATAATGAAGATTTCCATCTCACCGCGCACCCTTCTCCTTGTGGTGCTCGCGCTTGCCCTT